ACCTACTCAGGAGACTGAGATCTGAGAATCCCAGTTCAAAGCCTAGGTAGACAAATCTGAGGGACTTTTATCACTAGTGGAAGTGGAGCTGGAAGCGAGCTGTGGCTCAAATGGTAGAGTGCCTCCCAAGAGTGCAAATCCCTGAGTTCAAACACCAAACAAACAAACAAGCAAAAAAAAAAAGACTCAAAGTCTAGTTCTGATTGTTTTTAGAAATGTAAGTTCAGACAAGTATAGTTCTTGTGTGCATCCACTTACATAAGAAAGGAGTTGATTTTGATCAATTCTAAACTTCTTTCTGTCTTAAAAGCTGTAAAATCTAAAATCTTGGATGTTTTTTGGTTCAATGAGGAGGATGAAGGAAATCTCAGCATTGAGGGAGATCATTTGTTTTAGCTTCTTTCCTTTGTTTTAGCTTCTTTCATTTTTTGGCATAAATATTTACAAGTGATATCCTAATTTGTGACCTGAGCTTAAATATGAAATTGTTAAAAGTCACAGGTAATCTAGAGAAAAATGTTTAATTCCTGATTATGTTACTTTATCTTCCCAAGCTGTCTCTCATTCTTTGCCCAACCCTATTTTATTTTATTTTATTTTTTTGGTCTGGTCATGGGGCCTGAACTCTGGGCCTGGGCACTGTCCCTCAGCTCTTCAGCTCAAGGCTAGTGCTCTACTACTTGAGCCACAGTGCCACTTCCAACTTTTTTTTCTGCTTATGTGGTGCTGAGGAATCGAACCCAGGGCCTCATGCATGCAAGGCAAGCGCTCTACCACTGAGCCACCTTCCCAGCCCACCCAACCCTATTTTATACAATGACCTCAATCACACACATACTACATCAGGTAAACATTAGGTTTAGTTTTTCTTTAATAGAAAAACATAATTAAGCTCATTTTTAGTCTTTTGACTGATTATGCCTTAAGTTGGGAAACTCAGATGGAAAACAGCCCCATTAAACCAGGTATCAGTGGCTCACAACTGTAATCCTATTTACTCAGGAGGTTGAGCTCTAGGGGCAGTTAGAACAAATCATCTTCAAGACTCTCTAATTAAAAAGCATAAATGCCAGGCCAGAGACATGGCTCAAGCAGTAGAGTGCCAACTGTAAGTGAAATAAACTGCTTTCAAGGTACTGAGTTGAAGCTCAGTACTCACACAAAAAAAAAAAAGAAAGAAAGAAAAAAGGGGAGTCTTTTGTCAGATATTATGAAAGAAAATTTGTTATTTGTTCACTAGTCAACAATGAAAAAGTACATTTATATAACACAAATCAATCAAGAATACAGTCTTGCCCATTTATGATCCAAGTATTGAACTAAATTTGTATAATTATTTTAAGGCAGAGGAAAATGATGTTCAAGCAATCCCTTACCATCAGCCTGCTTCTCCTGTTTTTTCACATTTTGGGAACAATTTCAACACCAACGACCTCTAACGCCACCGAAGACTCAAGTCCCAGGATGAGCCCTACTTCCAGAACAAGTCCAAATCTCAGCATAAGCCCAAATCCAAGGACAAGCCTAAATGATGTGACCAATTCAAATCCTAGAGAGAGCTTCAGTCCTAGGGTAAATCTGACTCTCATGACTAGTGTAAATTCCCAGATAACTCTGAGTTCAAAGTTGACACAGATTTCCAATATAACCAAAAGTACTTTCATCTATATGACTATAAAGACTGTGAAAAATGGTAGTATGATACTTAATCCAATGTTCAACATTCACTTCCTTTTCTCTGTAATGATTTTGAAGTTTTATTTGTACTCAGGCTGAAGTAAACTTCAATTACCTGAATGGTCATTTCAGTTCCTTATTACCTGTTGAATGACAACAGATTACAAACTTTCAATTTACTACTTATCAGTATCCTACTGTGATTTGGTTGTGTGCAATTTTTTTTAATGTGTAAGTTTAAACATGATATAGTCTCTTTGCTTATTAAAAAGTTGCACTATTCTATTAAAGGCAAAATAAGCAAAATGTCCTATTTGTCCTCTATATGTTTACAAAGCTGAATTAAAACTGAGCTGTTTATACTGAAGGTATGAAAGAAATTATGTAGTAGTATTTAACCAAAGGGAAGAGGTAGTAAATGAGGTAATTAGTGGATAAGAGAAACTTTGTGTGTGTGTGTTTTTAAAATTAAACAGACTAATGGTCCTTTTCAAAACAGCATACCCATTTGTATTATTATATTTCATAAATGTGTAATTGTAATATGTTATTCTAGTGAGAAAGAGACTAATTCTGTTAACATTTATAATATAGAATACTGTCGCGCCAATGATAAAATTGTCTTTCAAAAGTGTTATCAAGTAGTTGAATAAAGGAGTTACAATTCCATAATTAAGGTTATGAGTACAATGTTTCTTGAAAATGTCACTGCTTCCTTCATTCAGTATTATCTTGAGTAAATTCTTGACTTGTGTTTCAAGTGGTGCTGTGGCTCAAGAGGTAGAGTACTAGCCTTGAGCTGAAGAGCTGAGGGACAGCACCCAGGCCCAGAGTTTAGGCCCCACGACTGGACCCCCCCCCCAAAAAATGTGCTCATAACTGTTGGCTGAAATTCTATGTTATGACTATCTACGAAAGTTGATTTAGTACTTAGTATATTAACTGTAATAGTTATGTTATTAATAGTAGAGTTAGGACCTTGAGGTTAGTTTATTTTTTGGCGGGGGGGTTGGTTGTGGGGTCTGAACTCGGCCTGGGCACTGTCTCTCAGCTCTCAGTTCAAGGCTAGAGCTCTACCAACTTGAGCCTCAGTGCCAATTCTGACTTTTTTCTGCTTATGTGATGCTGTGGAATGGAGCCTAGGGCTTCATGCATCCAAGGCAATCACTCTACCACTGAGCCACCTTCCCAGCCCTGGGGTTAGGTTTTGAGTGCCATTCTGATTTTATTTTATTCTGATGGTTTATATTCCTTTTTGGTGATCCTAGGACTTGAATTCAGAGCCTTTAGCTTGTTAGGCAGACCACGTTGCCATACCTCGAGCTCTTTTTGTTTTACTCGTGTTTATTCTGTGGGATTTATATCTGGGCTGGTCTGGGCTGAGTTGGTCTGGGCTAGACACAGTCATCCTATTTATGCTTCTCTTGTAGCTAGGATAACAGATGCACACCAACATCCCTAGATATTGGCTGAGTTAGTCTCAAACTTTATTTTTTTTGCCCAGGCTGGCTTCAAATCTCAGTCCTCCCAATTTCTACCTTTGAGTAGAGATTACAAGTACAATCACTGTCTAGTCTAATTCTGATCCTTACTAGTTGTGCTACTAAATACATGACTCAGCAGGATAAACTATAAATGAATCATTTGAGGTATCTATTAAATAAATTAGCTCTTGCCCCTAGATTTTAATGTGGCAGCTCAGGGTGAAAGCTGGGATTATAGATTAAAGCTTAAAATGCTAGGACTATAGACCTGATCTACTGACAAAATAGGGAAAAGTCAAAATATCTGACAATATTATAGTAAGATTAAGGGTGGAATACAAATATAGTTCATCTCAAAGGCAAAAGAAAAAGCAATTTAGAAACAATTTAGAAACAGTGACTGATATTTGGTGAGAGGATTATCATAGTAAGGATAAAAGCAATTTTTGGATATCTGAATTACCCAATTTAAAAAGATTTCCTTCTTTCTCCTTTTGTTTTTTACCTTCCTTACTGCTACTTCTCAATCTCAATTTGTTTCCTACAGAGAGGCAGGTTTTTACCACACAGAGCCACTAAATCTACAGATACAATTCCTCAATTTCTATTAAATACAGGGAATTAGAATAATCAAGTCTTAATGAATAGCATAATTAACACTAAACTTAGTCACTAAGATTCCAAAGTGAGTGTTTTCTGTATTATATCACATTGTCCTAAAAGTTCAACTTGTGGCTTTATGTCAACATAGGAATTTATATCAAGTAAGAAGTAAAACTGATCAAATAACATCATAGACTAGTTAATAAAAGGCAGGCAGAGCCACCAGGTACAGTGGTCACATACCTATAATCATAGCTTTGGGAATTTATGGCCATCTGGGCTATATAACAAGCTCAAGGCCAGCCTAGATTACAAGGGAGACCTTGTTTCAAAAAAAATAAAAACAAAACAAAGTCTAGGGATTTAGGTCAATTGTAAAGTACTTGCCTAGCATACACAAGGTCCTGAGTGTGATCCAGAACCCTTCTCTTTTCTCCTATCCCCACAAAAGTCAGGCAGAATTATACAAGAAAAGACACATAGCAGGCATACAAACATCACTACTATCATGAAGGAGTAGCTTATCTAGAAGGTGTTATAGGAACTAGTCAAATAGACAATCGTTTCAAGGCTTGTTACTTGGACCATCTACCAGCTTCAGAGTTCCACAAGTTCTCAGAAATAGGCTCTTAAAAGTTTCATTCTTTTTTTTTTTTTCTTTTTGCCAGTTGTAGGCCCTGAACTCAGAGTTTGGGTGCTGTCTTTCAGCTCTTCAGCTCAAGGCTAGTGCTCTACCACTTGAGCCACAGCGCCACTTCCAGTTTTGTCTGCTTAAGTGGTGCTGAGAAATCAAAACCAGGGCCTCATGCATGCAGGCAAGCACTCTACCACTGAGCCACCTTCCCAGCCCTCATTTCTTCTTGAAAATGAAGAAAAGCTTCTGATGATCATGTTTTAGGTACTAATAAACCAGAATATACTTGAAAATAAAGGTTCTTTGTCATTTTTCACTGATTTAATTAATCCATTGCAGGTAGTATTTTAAATCTCAAGTAGGAAAGACAAATAAGTATGTAAGTGATCTGAAAAGCAATTCCTAATATACTCAACAGCATTTAAAGAGAAATGGTTCATTACCTAGCTATGCTCCCAGATAAATCTATCTTCAACTCCTATTAATCCAAAGTAAAGAGGGGGGAGGGGGGAGGGAGGAATCAAAACTGCCGTGGCATTTCTCTATAGTGGTTGTCATTTTCAAAACTTGGTTAAGAGAGACTAAAACGTACTGTTTCTTACCTTCGTGCAACATAATAAAAAATAGGATTCCCTGCTTTGGAAGTGCCAGCTTGGTAGAAAATACTTAATGTTTTCAAAGCCTTGAACTCTTCTTTTTCATGTACTTGATGTCTAAAAGAAAAGAGATTTAGAAGCTTACATGCTAAATCAAAGATAAAATGTATTATAAAAGCAACAGGCTTTCTGAAGGGAAATTTGGCACCAAAGGCACTTTCATGATTCAAAGCTCCTCAATAAAATTTTAGCCAACAGAATCCAGAAACAAATTTAAAAAAAAATCATACCAAGTAGGCTTCATCCCAGAGATGCAAGGCTGGCTTAACATACTAAATCCATAAATATAATTCATCATATCAACAGAGCCATGGTCAATAATCACATGATTAACTCTATTGATGGAGAAAAGACTTTTGACAAAAATACAACACCCATTCATGTTAAAAGCTCTGGTGAAAATAGGAATAGAAGGAACATTCTTTAAAACAATAAAAGCCATATATGACAGACCAACAGCCAATTTCATACTAATTGAGGAAAAACTAAAACCAACTCCCCTAAAATAGGAACAAGGCAAGGATACCCACTCTATCCATTCCTCTTCAATATAGTTCTGGAGTCCTTAACCAGAGCAATTAGGCAAGAAAAGAACATTAAAAGAATCCACATAGGGAAGGAAGAAATTAAACATAATCTTATACCTAAATGACCCCAAAAACTCCACTCCCAAACTCCTAGAACTTATAAACCACTTCGGCAAAGCAGCAGGATACAAACCCCACAAAAATCAGTTGCCTTTCTGTATACAACAATGTACAATCAGACAATCAGAAAGGGAAATCAGGAAAACAACCCCTTTCACAATAACCTAAAAAAAAAAAAAAACCTAGTAAGAATTAACCAAAGATGTAAAGGACCTGTCTAATGAAAACTACAAAAAGTCTAAAGAATGAAATCAGAGAGGACACCAGGAAATGGAAAGACCTTCCATGTTCATGGAGAAGTAGAATCAGTATCATGAAGATGGCCATACTGCAAAAAATGATATACAAATTTAATGCAATATCCATCAAAATCCCAATGACGGTCTTTACTGAAATAGAGAAAACAATCCAAAAAATTCATATGGAACAACAAACGATCTAGAATAGCCAAAGCAATTCTAGGCAAAAGAAACAACACAGGAGGTATTACAATACCAGATTTCAAGCTCTACTATAGAGCTATAATAACAAAAACAGCTTGGTATTGGCACAAAAACAGACCCAAAGACCAATGGAATAGAAGAGCCGGAAATAAAACCACATACTTAAGTCAGCTGATACTTGACAAAGGAGCCCAAGGGGGACAGTGGCAAAAACAAAGCCTCTTCAACTACTGATGCTGGGAAAATTGTGCAGGCATATGCAGAAAACTAGAAGTGGATTCTAGCCTGTCATCATGCACTAACACCAACTCAAAATGGATTAAAGATCTCAACCATCAAACCTGAAACTCTGAAACTACTGCAGGACAGAGTAGGAGAGACACTAATACTTAGAAGCACAGGCAAGATCCTGAACGGAGTCCCAGGGTCACAACAAATTGGAGACTCAACAAGTGGGACTACCTTAAAATAAAAAATTTCTGCACAGCTAAAGACATAGCTACCAAACTAGAAAGGCAGTCAACCAATTAGGAAAAAATATTTGCCAGCAATATATCAGACAAGGGCCTAAAATCCATTATATACAGGGAACTCAAGAAACTAATCCCTCCCAAACCAATCATAAATGGGCAAGGAAGCTAAAGAGAGACTTCTAAGGAAGAGATAAAAATGGCAAAGAAACATATGAAGAAATGTTCATCATCCCTGGCCATAAAAGAAATGCAAATAGGGCTGGGAAGTTGGCTCAGTGGTAGAGCGCTTGCCTTGCATGCCTGAGGCCCTGGGTTCGATTCCTCAGCACCATATAAGCAAAAAGAAAAAA